CCCTTTTCCCGGGGGGGGGGAGGGGAGCGACAGCCCAGCCCCTTCCCGCGCTCGCCCCCGCCCGCGGCTGTGGAAGGAGGGGCCTGGTGGGCGGGACTTAGCCTGGCCGGGTTCTCGCCGCCCTGCCCCCGCCGGCCTCGCGAGACTTGGTTTGAAATGGCGGCGGGCGGGCTCGGCGGCTCTCGCTGAGGCGCGGCCGCGCCATGGAGCGGGCCACGAGCCTCCAGCCGCGGCTGTTCCGCACCTACGCGCGCCGGGGCGCTCCCCGGCGCCGCCTGCCGCCCCCGGCCCCCTGGCTGTCGCCGCCGCTGGACCGCAAGCGGCTCTTCAGCTCCAGCTCCGCCTCCGTGGGCTCGACTTCCACCGCCTCGTCCTCCGGCTCCGAGGACCCCGACTTCCAGCCCTGCCGCCGCCGCTGCCGCCGCCCGCCGCCGCCCCGCAGTCCCGCCCGCCTGAGGCGGAGGAGAGCCGGCCGCGAGGAGGCCAAGGAGAACCGGGGCCCCGCCGGGCCGGGCCCGCAGAGCGATAGCTGCGCCGTGCCCGCCACCCCGCTGCGGAGACACGTCACCCGCCGGCGCCGCCGGGGGGCGCTCCCGTCCCCGGGGCGCAGGACGGGGCTGCGGGCGCGGGCCCCCCTGCTCTGCAGCACCCCACAGCAGGCGCCGCCCGGGGCGGAGAGCGGGCCCCTCCCCGAGGAGGAGAGCATCCTGGGGGGCTGCCAGGAGAACGGCCCCCCCGGTCCTGGGAGGGCGGCCTCGGGCCGGGCCCCCCGCCGACGTCACGGCCCCCCCCGGAACATCCTGGCCGAGCTGAGCTCCTTGGCGCCGAGGAGCAGCACCGCGGAGCCCGCGGCAGGGCTGGAGGGCAGCATGGAGCTGTCCGGGGGCAGCGGCCGGGTCGCTCCTGGCCCACAGCATCCCACCCCCAGTTCAGGCAGCCCCCTGGGGGGAGACTGGCGGAGCCAGAGCCAGCCGCCGTGCACAGCATCGCCCCAGACTACTTGTATGATATCTGGGAGCAGCTATGTCCTCTTACCCTGTGGGGCTGGGAGACCGCCTGAAGCAGCCCAGGGCGACTCGATCCAGCTTGTCCCCTCATCATTTCCAGGTATCCACAGACAGTCTGTCCCTACTCAGGACCAGCCGGTGTCACCCCATCATAAAACTGTGAGTAGAGATCATGTCCAAAGACTGACCTCACAAAAGGCAGAGGGGGCTCAGAGGACTACACAGGGACCTTGCCAGCTAGAAACTAGTCTGGGCCTGCAGAAAAGTGTTAACCATCCTGGGGCTGCACTGCCCATTACTGGGACGCCCCATGTCCTGGTACAAGATAATACCAGTCCTGATGAGCCACATGATGGTTTGAGAGGAGGCTCTCAGAAAAGGAGCTGGAACCTTAGCACAGACAAAAGCAGACACCAACTTCAGCCCTTGGTGGTCTTGAGCTCTCAAGTGGTACCAACCTGGTTGGCTAACAGGAAGATCAATAATAAGTTGGATGCTTGGCCCTCCTGGAGGGAAAATGATTGTCAGCAGCCAGTTTCCCCCTCTGCCCTGTCTGTAATCTCAGTAAAGAAGTCCAGAAGTAGCAAGGTCATTCCCAGAGATGGTGATGGAGGCACCAGTAGAAAGGCCTGTATCAGTGGGTTCAGCTCCAGCCGATGGGGGAAACAGGCAAGGTGCCGCCCTGTCAGACGCAAGAATTCAAAAACTCCATGGCAGCAGGGTAATGGCTCCTTCTTTCAAGAACAAATGAGGCAAAAAGGAAGAGAGAAAAATGCCCTGGAGATGTCATCGTCTTTTCTGTGTGACTCTTCTTTCCTCAATGACTCCCAGTGGTGGGCTAGGGCTCGAGCATCTCTCACTCTTCACAAGAAAAAGAAAGTTTCCATCGAGGAAAGTGCCTGTAGCAGCATCCCTTGTACTCCTTCCTCCAAATCTCAGCTTGCAGGGTACCGTAAGTCCTCGTTCATTCAAAGTGTTGGCTACTGTAATTGGCCCACTTCCTCCGTGCTCCTGCTGACTCCCATGAAGTCCCATTCTGTTCTGGAGGTGATGCTCACAGACGCAGAAAAGGTGTATGGGGAATGCCAACAGGAGGGTCCTATCTCCTTTGAGCAATGTATTCCCCCAGATAAGATGAAGAACTGTTTGAAGATTGGGGAAGGAGTATTTGGGGAGGTGTTCCAAACAAACAGTGAGAGAGGAGCTGTGGCTTTAAAAATAGTTCCTGTTGAGGGGACTGAAAGGGTCAATGGAGAAGCTCAGAAGAGCTTCAGTGAGATCTTGCCAGAGATGATAATCTCAAAGGAGCTCAGCCTTTTATCTCAGGAGGTAGAGAACAGGACTGTAGGTTTCATTGACTTGTACTCTGTGCACTGTGTCCAGGGGGCATATCCCAAGCATCTTCTGAAAGCCTGGGACAAATATCACAAACTGAACGGATCTGAAAATGACCGGCCAGACCTGTTTGGAGAGCAGCAGCTGTTCATGGTCCTGGAATTTGAATTTGGAGGCAATAACTTGGAGAATATGAGGAAGCAGCTAAATTCAGTGGCAACAGCAAAAAGCCTGCTGCATCAAGTTACTGCTTCCTTGGCTGTGGCAGAGGAGGGACTGCACTTTGAGCACAGAGACTTGCATTGGGGGAATATTCTGGTGAAGAAAACCAACTTGAAAGAGCTCAGTTATACTTTGAATGGAGCAGTTTATACAATCCCCACGAAAGGAATTCATGTGAACATCATAGATTACACCCTATCTAGGATGGAGAAAGATGGGCTAACTATCTTCTGTGATATTTCTACTGACAAAGAGCTGTTCCTAGGAAGAGGTGACTACCAGTTTGATATCTATAGGCAGATGAAAAAAGAGAATGCCAACAACTGGGCTGACTATCACCCCCATAGCAATGTCCTGTGGCTGCACTATTTGGTAGATAAACTTCTGAAAGAGGTAAACTACAAGAGAAAGCTATCATCCTCCTCTGCCTTGAAAGGCATACAGAAGCAACTCCGAAAGTTTCACAGAGAAGTCCTGAACTTTAGCTCTGCAAGTGATGTTCTGCTCAATAGCAGCCTTTTCCACTGATCAAAATGGACCTTTGAATGAGAGATCACAAAATGGTGTCCTTGTACTGTCACTCCCTTTGCTGTATTTTTGGAATATTTTAACATTGGCATATTTGGCATGGTGCAGATAGTAAATGACCTCTTATGTCCATGAGTTAAATAATTTCTAAGTGTTCAGCTAAAATATGTGAAGATCCATTGTTGCCAAAAAAATTTGAAACATTTCACAGTTCAAATATTAAAAATGGTTCTTCCATATGTTAAGTCCTTATTTTGAACGTTAAGATCCTTTGCAACTTTTAATCTTAGATCATTAAAACTGATGACTTTAAGCTGCAGTAAAATCTAGCCTACTTTTCATTTCTCACTATGGAAAATGAAGACTTGACCTAATATTGCTAATACATTTGAGGCATTCCCTTATTATAAAAAATGTTGGTTTTTTTTGTTTTTGTTAAATTAGGACTTATATAGACCCAGCTTTAAACACATGCTCTTAGGTTGGCAAACTTCCTGGATTAGCAGAATGAATTTGACAGGTTACAATACAATAAATACAATAAACCTTGAAATAGAAAATTAGAGAAAATACTCCTGGATTCTGTAGGAAAGCCACGCTTGAATATGTTTTATCAGTAAGGCTATGATTTTGTCATGGATCTTTTCAGTAAAAGTGATGGACTGGTCATGGGCAATAAACAAAAAATCATGGAAGCTGTGACCTGTCCCTGACTTTTACTAAAAACATCCCTGACAAAATGGGGGGGCCCAGCACCCTGTCTCCCCCCCCCTGCAGTGGCTGGGAGCTACAGGGACCCCATTGCCCAGTGGCACTTGCGGAGGGGGGGGTCCCGCAGTCAGTTGTGGGGGGAGAGGGTCCCCTGCTGCCCATGGAGGCTGGGCTTCTGCTGAGTCCCCTGGTACCTGCAGCAGCTGGGCAGCTCTGGGGGCCCCTCAATGTCACAGAGGTCACTGGAAGTCACAGATTTCACAACCTCCGTGACATAATCTTAGCTTTACTTATCAGTAAGGGTCTAAACCTGCTCTCCGGAAAGTCTGTGGAAGAGGAATCGCACATTGAAAAAGTTTAAAAAAATAAAATAAAAATACCTGTGTTCCTGTTACATTTTTCATTTTTGTAATAGGATGACCTTGTATGCAGATAGGAACCAAAATCTCTAAATCAATTTGAGCGCCAAAGCGGTTTTCCCCATTGATCTACGAAGGCAAATGCACAGGATGAGAAAGGGTGAACTGTTGGCCCTAAAAAATCCAACTTCATCAATGTTATTAACTTTGTACCTACATTAAACTGGAACGCTTTGGTCTCAGAGTGTCCTTGACTAACATTCACATATACTACTGGAGTTGGCCTGCAGACAAACAGATAAATCAAACTAAATGGATCTTGCATTGTTATTGCTGCAAATTAGTTCACACTATAACTGATAGAGACAGATCCCTCAAATAGAAGAGAAGGGAAGTTATCACACATCCAGTTTTAGTGAAGTCATGTTTATCTACACTTATTTTAAAGGGACAACATCTTATAATTAATAATAATATATGGAGATATACCTATCTCATAGAACTGGAAGGGACCCTGAAAGGTCATTGAGTCCAGCCCCCTGCCTTCACTAGCAGGACCAAGTACTGATTTTGCCCCAGATCCCTAAGTGGCCCCCTCAAGGATTGAACTCACAACCCTGGGTTTAGCAGGCCAATGCTCAAATCACTGAGCTATCCCTCCCCTCCTTTGAATCTAGAATCTATTTAAATAGTTTCAGGTACTAGAGATGCCCCTGAATTTCCCTGCCAGTTAGGTGGTCTTACTATCACATTTTTCAGTTTCTCCCTTCCCTTTTGCAATGTGAGACACATACAAAATGGGAACCACCAACTATCTATAGTGTTGTTAAACACACAAAGTAAGAAATCTTAGGATCTAGCAATTACAGTAATCTTGTGATTCTAGTAACAATAGTTGACTATCTTAAACAATAAGGTTAATTAACCTTTTTATAGAGGAACAGCAATTCATAAATAACAAATTATACAGGCGTCGGCAACCTTTCAGAAGTGGTGTGCCGAGTCTTCATTTATTCACTCTAATTTAAGGTTTCGTGTGCCAGTAATACATTTTAACATTTTTAGAAGGTCTCTTTCTCTAAGACTATAATATATAACTATTGTTGTATGTAAAGTAAATAAGGTTTTTAAAATGTTTAAGAAGCTTCATTTAAAATTAAAATGCAGAGCCCCCCGGACCGGTGGACAGGACCCGGGCAGTGTGAGTGCCACTGAAAATCAGCTTGCGTGCCGCCGGTTGCCTCCCCTGTAGTCTTAACAAGGTTCCCCTACTTCACTTTACCTCCAAAACTGGTTTGTAAATGTCCTAATAATATCAATAGCACTTGGCTACTCCGTAAGACTTACTTGGTAAGAACTGCAGTCAAAGCATATCTGACATCAAGTATGTGTTCTTCAATCAAAGCAGTGCTATTTTCATTTACACTAAAAATAAATTAAAGGGTAAAAGATAACATTTAGTTATCTACCTGTACTATATTTAATTTTTTTCCCTGTCACTAAAGCTTCTATAGTTTGACATTTGCTGACAGTGACTTTATACAAGGAGAATGAAAAGAATTATTGCCACTGTACAGTCAAAAGCAGCTTTCACAGAGCTACTAGCGGTCTGAACTCCATAAATGTAATATTGTAGGAATTCTGACCTTTCCTTTAGCATTTCCTGTTTCCCCATATTTCAAATACAAGTGCAGTATGTGAGCATACAGCAATGCTCACATCTATCATAGTTAAGGGTGCTCCCACATGTTCAAAAAGCTTGCTGGCATGGTAGAAACTTATACAAAAACCTTCCCCTTCAACTATGCTTGCAGTAGAGTTGAAAGGCAAAAATTCCAGATTTAGCTGCCTAAAGTTAGTCAAATAAAATCTTTAGTTTCCTAAAATCAGTTTCCTGATTTTCAAAGATGCTGAGCATCTGCTCATTCCTTATTTTCCACACTTAAGTCCAGCTGTTGAGGTGCGAAACCGTAGGTTTAGATTCCTATCTTGTTTGAAAACGTTGACAAATGGGTCAAGTACAGTTTTGTGCAGATTACTTGGGTATAAATATGGCCTCAGCTTTTTTTATTTTTAAAGGCTTGCATGCCTTCCCCCCAACCCCCTAGAAAGCAGACTTCCCCCGTCCCCATCCCGAAAGAATAGGAAAGGAGAGCAAAGGACTCTGAAAACGTGCTTTCCCAGGCCCCAGTGAAGTGGGTGGAGGGAATTAGTATCCACCACACCTTGCCTCCCCAAAATCAATTGGGCCTCAACAAAAAATCCACTCGGCACACAGCTGAGCCTGTGTTTTTGAAAAAAGTATACACTATACACTGTTTCCCCTACTGATGAAGAAGGGGTACTAGGTGTCCTACAGGAAAAAGAGGGAAATCGGGACCCTGCTTAAGAAATAAGTAAATTTGGTGGCTTTTCCATTCTCTAATTTCCAAAGAGAAAATAAATTATAATCCTCAGCAGGTAGGGGAATAGTTTGTACATACATGGACATTTCTAAAAGAAGGGAGGGATGGATGAGTAGGGTTTCCATGGAACTGGCTCCCACAGGCTGTTTAATGGAGAAGTATTAAGGAAATAGGAGGTGACTTATGTTTTCTCTTCTGTCTATAATATGCAGGTGGGAAAGGGCATTTCTTACTTTGTGACGTTAATAGTGATGTTCGCAGTCTGATCTGGAAATAAAGCTTCATCTAATTGCCAAATCACTGAGAAATGTGCCTATTATGAAGAAAGAGATTATTAAACAAAAAAAGCAAAATGAATGTACAGGTCTGTCGCATCTTACGTTGGGGTTACATTCCACAGTCAGTGCATAAAGCAAAAATCGCGTATAGTCAAAATTACATTGAGTGTAATGGGCGGAATTGCCCGCACTACAGGTACAGTATTAAAATTATTATTTTTCTCTTTTTTTTTGTTTTTGCCGACCGCGTAAAGCTGAAATCGCGCACGTTAAATGCGCGTAAGATGCGACAGACCTGTATGCAAATGGTTTTTTTATTCTTGCTGTACTACTTTTAAAATAGATTTAGTTGGATAATTTTATTGTCCAAATTTCTCTCCAGTATGTGATACATATTACTATGTATAATAGAAAAACAGCCGAGAAACAGATATATGCAAATGGCTAGTGTGACAGTCAGGGTCCAGACACCCCACGGGGAGAATAGATGGTTTAAACCCCTAAAAAGAAGCAGTTAAACCAAATGATTGCATACTATGTTATTTTACTGTAAAAGTATATCGAGTATGGTCTTTTACAGAAGCTTTTACTGTTCTGAAACTGATGGTCATCATGAGATACGTATAGAGACTATGGTTATGAATTTGTGTATATAGAGAACTGTGCTCATAAGCTTTGGCTCCACCTCACAGCAGGGAGGTGAGCAATCAGATAGGGAGAGGCAGCTCCCAAGCCAGATGTTTACACAAAACCGGACTCAAGTAACGATTCATTGTACAGCCCAGGAACAGACAAATCATGGGTCATTAGAGTTTGTGGTAAAACACTGAGACAACTTGGAATTTCCCACTTTTCAATATCTATAATGAACTGAAGAATAAAACTGCAAACCCTTTTAAAATAAAACGGGTTTGAAGTGAAATCTATCCAGAGACAGGAAGAGCCTGTAGGTGGGAAGCTTTCTGTGAATGCTGGATTCGTCCCCCCCACCACAGTAGTTAAGGTGAGAAACTGTTCAAAGGCAATAGGTAAATTGTATTAGAAAAAGGGTTTTTTATCTAATATGGATGTTTAAAGCCTGAGGTTGCATCTTTACATTTACTGGGTCACTTGCATGTTTGCTATCTCACTATTTCATCTTTGAATCAGTGGGTTTTTCTATGAAATAGACGTTTTGTTTATTTTTACTCCAAGCAGGTCTTTGTTGTGCAAACTGTGTGGGGACCAAAGTAAGATGGTATCTGTGGGACTGATTTCACACCTTCGGAGGTGACAAACCAGAGGTGGAAAGTCTGTGTGTCTGGTAGTTAAAAACCAGGGCCGGCTCCAGGCACCAGCCGAGCAAACTCGTGCTTAAGGTGGCATTCTGCCCAATCCTAGGGTGGCACGGCTGCTTTTTTTTTTCTTGGTTCACCACCCTGGCCGCCCTGTAGGGGCGGCGGCGCGGAGGAGGGGAGCGCCCTGCTGGGAGCGGGCTGCGTGCTCCGTCTGCCCCAGCCCGTGCCAGGTCTGTAGCAAGCCCGGCAGGGCAGCCCGCGTCCTTCCCTCGCCGCCGACCGGAGTAGCGCCCCGCTGAAGCCCTGGCTGCCCCCCCTTCTCTCTCTCCCCCCGCTAGCCGGGGCACGTCTGCAGCGCAGGGAGTCCCCCTGCACCCTGGCTCTGGCTGCCCTGCAGGGTTTCCCCCCCCCCCCCGCTTTGCCGCTCTGGCCACCCCGCAGGTTTTTGTTTGTTTTTTTTGCTTGGGGCAGCAAAAAAGCCAGAGCCGGCCCTGTTAAGAACTCAGAAATTTAGGGAGACTCAGGACAGGAAGGGCTGTTGGTGTCACCCTGCAAGGAGTAACTAAGCTGCTGAAAGCTAGAGTGAGACCTGGTGCATGTGGGCAGGCTACAGGTGTCAGCACAGCATTAAGGCACCCCAGGGTTACAGGGCACGCAGTGACAGAACGCGTTACTGGCCTGGGTGATCCTCAAAATATCACAGTCAGCTAGAGTGCTGACCTCCATACATGAGAGTTAGTTGAGGCTATGGCCTAGTTGCAAAGATAATGGTGCAAGAGCAGCTGATGAAAATAGAACAAACACTGAGGACAGAGCTGGAAACAATGACATTTGACTTACCGTTGTTTTTTTGAATATTGGGTGTCCAATCTTGCAGCCCATGGACGAGAGTAAATGTGCAGATGGTTTTGGCTGATCGCAATGAATCACAGTAGAGGATGGCTGTCAAAATAGTAGGAATGCTTTTTAATATAGAAGCAAAACAGACTGGAAGATTCAACTCGTTCTGCTGTGCACTCCCACAAAATGAATTTCTAACCTAGGTGTGAATAGCTCACAGGTAACATCAGGAGTTAGGTGTTCTGGAGATCACAAGAGTTCTCCATTTAGGCACTGATAACATCACTGAGGTGTTCCGTTTATGATTTCTTTTCAGGCCTCGTTTTAGGCATTTAGAGCAGGTATTTTCAATACAGGCTATGAGTCTCGTAAAAAAACGCCTTTTATAGGCAGGCAAAATTGATTCAAACTGCCAGAACACTTTATTTACATGAAACATGTTGGATTAGTATGGTTGAGATAAATAACAAATACCCACATTTGACTGGTTTTAAAAAAAGTTCAAGTTACTCAGTGGTCTCCATATATTGCAAAAGAAAAACACTGCAACGAACCCAACATACAGATTATAGCCTTGCCCTGAAGACAGTCCAGTCCTTCAAGACCTCCACTAACTCTATCCCTTATAAAAATTGATAAAGTAATTTAAAAGTCTCATCAGTTTTAACTTGAAAAATGGGGAAACTAACTGACCCAGACTCTTTAGTTCTGGCTATATTTTAGCAATAGCAAGCCCTTTGTGCTGCTGCAGTTTAATGCATTACAACACTACTCACTTTTCAGCTGTTCCATTTTATGTATGCCATTGCTGAATACACCCTAATACGGCTGGCTTACTCATGCAACATGAAGGCAGTGTTTGAATTTTATTTAAATTTTTTCATCATGCTGTAATTATGGCCTTAATATACTGAATAAATCCAAAGCTTATACTAGCCCAAGATCTGTTCTCAGTAATTCTGAAACTAGGAAGTTAGTATTTGCTTTCAGTGTTCCTGAACTCAGAAATAACCTTCCTATATACCCCAAACCTTAATTTAATCTGTTAACAGGAAGGGCCACTTGACTGGGACCAGAAAACTGCAGAAGGTCCAGGAATCTATGCTGAGTATCCTGTACCTCCTTGGGTTGGATCTGGAGCTCAGTTGCCACCCACTGCAAGAGCTCTTGATACTGCCTGTAGACCTCAGGCAAGGATGGCGAAGACTGAATTACCACCTCATCTAGCATCGGGAAGGATTCACCTGTCCGCACCATTGGTCCCAGCAGATTTGGCTCAATTTTTTCTCTCTTGTACCCTGACGGAGCTGGTTGGTGTCAGCAAAGAGAGGGTAGGTGGGATTCATGCAGAGATCTGGAGTGTCTAGCATAGGGATCCCATGGACTCCAATGATGCCAGTAGGAAGAGTCAACTGGTTGAGGGGGATCCCTTGGCATTGGGTACCACTGGTCCCCTGGATAATCATATCTGGGTGGAGAACAGATCTAAGACCTTCTGGAGCCTCCAGCTCAGCAGACGAGAAGGTAGGTTCCAGTTCAATCGGCAAGTCATCAGTACTGGTGGACGAATGCTCCAGCTGATGGAAATAGGGAGTATTTCCATCTCCTCCCAGAGGTCTGTCCTGGAGTGCAGGATGTTCCAATGGCTGGGACCGACAGATCCGGCGCATCCCTAGTTCTGGTGGACAGCGGTTCCTTGCAGGGGCAGGCCAGCACCAGAGCAGAGTCTAAGTCTGTAGCTCCCAGACAGTGCCGATGGTGCTGATCCTTTGGTTAGTGTATCGGAACCCAAATTAGTACCAACGTATCCCTACTCTTTTGCGCCAGACCTTCATGCCCAAGAGGTCTGAGCAGACCTAAGTCCTTAGGAGTTGTGCATGAGGACTCACCAGACTTGGACAGAATGGGGGAGGGATCTTTTAGTTTAGGAGCAGATTTTTCCTTGCGTTTGAGCGTGCTCCTTGCTCCTAATGAGAAGCCTATCAATTCTTAGCAGCTCTGGCCTCAGCTCCTGTGCTCAGGCTCAGAGGGGCGCTGCTCACGCACTGAGGCCATTGTACAAGTTGGTCGCCTTGGCCCAGGTCTGGGTCTCAAGGCTTTCTCCATGAGATGTTTCTTTAGTCAGAGCTCTTGAGAGGGAAGGAGCGACAAATGTTGCACTTAGCGGAGATGTGAGCCTCCCCAAAGGCAGTATAGGCAACACTGGTGTTTATGGCTCACAGAGAAGGAACCAGGGCAGAAGATCCCCCTTAAATCACTGGTCTCTGGCCATAGTCCTTGTTCATTGGGAGAAGCTCCCCAAGTCAGGGACTCGGGTAGGACTAATTTACACTAACTAGACAAATGAACACTACTAAGAATAATAAAAAAATATTTACAGTATATACACAGGTTTTGAAGAATAAACACGGAAGTAGCTTCGGACACAGGATTCCAACTCAGGCTATGCAGCAGTAAGAAGGAACTGGAGCAGCATTGGTCCCCACCACCCTGTAAACTCTCAGTTCAGAGCACAAGGAAAACAACTGGAGGCATGAACCAACGGACCCGACTTGCTAGAAATGTTATCTCAGTCAGGCACACGGTGTGCCTGCACACCCACGTATGGAATACATGTAGGGACCAACACTCAAAGAACTATCTGGATCTCAAATCACTAAAAGGTGCTGTACAGCCCATAAAAGAAAAAAAATGCTCACAACAGTTATCAGTAGTTAAATAGCCTCACTAGGAAAAGTGAGACAGATGTTACATGAGTTGTTCAAAGTCCCAGCAAGTCAGTGGCAGTCAGGATTAGAACTCAGAAGTTCCTGACTCCCAATCCTGTGTTTACTCCATTAGGCCACAGTGCGTCTGAAAGAACACAGGTTACTCATGCATAACTCCTGATAAAAGTATACAAGAGAGCCTTACCTATTGTTCTGTGTATGATGTGTCTTACTGTTCATGGATTTATTAATAAAGCACCTATAGATGAGCTTTACATCTTACCACTGGCCAAAAAGACCTCCTTGGAAAATAAGCATTTATTTCAAGAGAGTTTTCCTGGGCAGTGAGTGAATAACAATGGATTCTGACCCTGGCTGTTCCTTACCATCCTGGTTTTGAACCAGACAGCCACTCCGTGATCTCACCTCTGGGATCATCTTTTTAAACTGTAGATTTCTAGGGTATTTCAAGACCAAGGTTGTCATGTAGGAGTCATCTCCGCTGTTAACTAGAGAAATGTCCATGGTCAGCTCCTTGGTGTCCCCCACCACTAATTTCTTCCTATAAGCAGGCATGAGACATAAAACAGATGGGTTACACTTTATCAATGTTAATGTAACAAAGGGAGACATAAAACACAAATTATTTTAACAAAGTCCATATGTAATTTTATAGCAACACCAAGAACGAAATCTGTATAATAAAACCATTTCAACTCACTGAGTGTGACTTCTCAAGGTTAGGTTCGCAGCACAGATGGCTTTGTTATTACAGTCCTTCTTGTAAGGCAGCTGAAATTAGACAGAGGAGTGGGAGTCACTGTGATGGAGTCAGACTAGTTGGTCAGAACTCTGGTTTTAATGGGACTTTTTCCCCCCTCTTTTTTTCCCCCCCCGGGAGGCAGCATATTAAAAACCACGTACACTCACATGTACAAGAATGCTTTCCCCAAAACCAGGGATTCACATAACCCTATCTAAGGGGCAAAGCTGGAGTTGAAGAAACCTCTAGCAGTGACTCACTAACAGGTTGCTATTGAATTATGATGGGATTGCCAGAAAAGGGACTAATAGGAGGATTCACAGCAACACGAAATGCCTTCAGTGGTGACAAGGTCAGCATTCTGAATATTTCCTCTGGGTCCCTTCGCAATCCAGCATTCTCAGCACATTAGAAAGAGATGCTAGTTGTTAACCCTTCCATTCGTCCACTAGGAGTCATCTGAACCATTCTGTGGCTGAATCGTGTAAGTTACTTTTTTATTATTCCCCTTTCATTGCTGAAATATTATTCTAGTTTTTGAATCAGTCTGACCATATTATTTGACTTACTCTCTCCCTATCTCAATTTATTTAAATGCAAATATCACTTTCTTACAAGGTACAGAGATGAAAAAAAATAAAAACTAGAAAAGTGAATTTCTAGAAATGCCATACAAGCTTCAAAATTAAAGTTTCATATGTTCAAGTCAGTTCCAAACACACTGCATGTTTTACAGATGAGACTGATTTGATTTTTCTGGAAGAACCAAATCAGGGGAAATGGCCAGTATTTTTTTATCAGCAATTTGATCCTCCAATATAAATCTAGCATCTATAGCTGATACTGCCATAGCAGTCCAATGACAATTAACCATTAGGTGATGGGTGCTTTGGTTGCTAGCAAATCAATCTATCACCACTACCACATCTCAGATGATCAAACTGAATAGTAATATACTACTACGTAATGGTAAATGAGCACTCATTGCAAAGTATTACCCTGATTCATCTAGATGGCATAGTTATTAGATATTGATTTGTGACTGGAGTTATCCATATTAATAAACAGGAAAATGCTGCCTCATCGTAGAGCTTTGCTGCATTTGTCAGAAACTGATTTAAATTCCAGACTGACTAGTTTAAAAAATAGAGCTAAATTAGCTAATAAGAATTTCCCCTGCTCATAAAATATAAATGAGAGACCATGATACAAAAAACACAGGTTAAAACCAGCTAATTAGAAGCTGAAACGCCCGAATTCTGATTTAGATTTTTTTCAAAATATAATTTAGAAGATATTTTAAAATACCTCTTTTAAAATAGAAAATTATACCACTTTGTTAATGCAGAAATCTTCATTCAAAGAATAGCTCTTAATAATACTACATAACATAGAGCTTTATATCTGCAAAAGCACTTCACAAACATTAACTAATGACTCCTCAACACCTTTCCAATTGAGGTGGGTTCTGTCCCCGTTTGGTAAATGGGTAAACTGAGGCACAGAGAAGGAAAGAACAGTTACTCACCTTCTCGTAACTGTTGTTCTTCGAGTTGTGTTGCTCATATCCATTCCAATTAGGTGGGTGCGTACACAGTCGTCAGAAAGTTTTCCCTTAGCAGTGCCCGTTGGGTCAGCTGTGGAGCCCCCTGGAGTGGCACCTCCATAGCGCTCTATATATGACCCTGCCAACCTGGCTACTCCGACAGAAGGGAAGGCAGGTGGGTACTGGAATGGACATGAGCAACACATCTCGAATAATAAGTTACAAGAAGGCGAGTAACCGTTTTTATTTCTTCGAGTGATTGCTCATGTCCATTCCAATTAGGTGACTCCCAAGCCTTACCTAGGCGGTGGGGTCAGGGTTATGGAATCGCTGATTGGAGCACCGCTCTGCCGAATGCTGCATCATCTCTGGCATGCCAGATGATGGCATAGTGAGCGGGGAACGTATGCACTGAGGACCAAGTCACTGCCCTGCAGATTTCTTGTATTGGGACCTGGGCCAGGAACCCCGCTGACGAGGCCTGGGCCCTCGTGGAACGTGCCGTAAGTGCCGGGACTGGGACCTTGGCCAGCTCGTCGCACGTGCGGATGCAGGACGTGATCCAGGAAGGTATTCTTTGAGATGAGACCAGGTGTCCTTTCATCCGGTCTGCTACCCCTACGAACAGCTGGTTGAACTTCCTGAACGGCTTAGTGTGCTCGATGTAGAATGCTAGTGCCCGCTGAACACCCAATGAGTGTAGCCTCTGCGCTTGACTACTGGCATGAGGCTTAGGAAAGAAAATGGGCCGTCTTGACTCGTGTGAAAATGTGACACGGCCTTAGGAAAAAAGGCTGGGTGAGGCCTAAGTTGCACCTTATCCTTGTGTAAGACTGTGTAAGGTGGGTCAGAGGTGAGGGCCTTCAACTCAGACACCCGGCGTGCTGAGGTAATGGCGACCAGAAGAGCTACTTTGTACGATAGATAGAGGAGGGAGCACGTCACTATCGGTTCAAACAGGGGCCGCATTAGATTGGAGAGGACCAAGTTCAGGTCCCACACAGGGACTGGCCATCTAATCTGGGGATGGAGGCGTTCCAGGCCCTTGAAAAAACGTCCCACCATGGGGTTGGCAAATACAGAGCATCCAGATACTCCTGGGTGGAAGGCCAAGAGAGCAGAGAGGTGTACCTTGATGGATGCTGCTGCCAGGGCTTGTTGATTTAGGTGTAGGAGGTACTCTAGGGTGAGTGGGATAGGCACCTGGATTGGAGGTGTGTGATGCTGGGCACACCAGCAAGTGAACGTTTTCCACTTAGCTAGATAAGTGGCCCTGGTGGATGGTTTCCTGCTGCCAAGTAGGACCTCCCGTACAGGTTCCGAGCACAGAAGCTCCATGGGGTTTAACCACGAAGCTTCCAAGCCGTGAGATGGAGGGACTGGAGGTCCAGGTGGAACAGGTGACCATGGTCCTGACTGGAGGTCGAGGTGGAGTGGCAACGCAATCGGGGCGTCCACTGACAGTTCCAAGAGCGTGGTGTACCTGTGTTGTTGATGCCACGGCGGGGCCACCAGGATTACTTCCGCTCTGCCCCTGTGGACCTTGAGAAGAACCATGTGCACGAGAGGGAACGGGGGAAAGGCATACAACAGACGGCCACCCCAGGGTAGCAGAAATGTGTCCATGACCTAGCCTGGGCTGTGATTCTGGGAGAAGCAGAACATCGGGCACTTCCTGTTGCTGTGGGTGGCGAACAGATCGACCTGGGGAAACCCCCACCTTTGGAAGATGGAGTGGATGACGTCCAACCCCTTACAGTAGTGGTCGGAAACCACCTGAGGCCTTGAATGATGTTTGACATGACTTGAAATTGTGTCTGTGGCAGAAACGCTCTTGCCTGCACCGAGTCCAGCACTGCCCCGATGAACTCTATTCTCTGGGTTGGTGATAAGGTTCACTTGTTCACATTGAGGAGGATGCCCAATTTCTCAAAAGTGGATCTGACAAACCAGACCTGAGATTCCACCTGCTCCCTGGCGTGCCCCCTGAGCAGCCAGTCGTCGAGGTGGGGCTATATCTGCACCTGTGTCTTGCGAGGGAAGACTGCTACGACTGACCTGCACTTGGTGCTAAACTAACAAAGGAAAACAAACACTAAATAAATAGAGCTCGGGAAACGAGGAGCGCTTTCTGAGCAAGACGCCACAGTTCCAACGACCGTCATTGGCGGCAAGAAGGCACTGAGGCGGCGCCGAGTCGGCAGGGTCATATATAGAGCTCTATGGAGGCGCCACTCCAGGGGGCTCCACAGCCGACTCGACGGGTGCTGCTAGGGAAAAAGTTTCTGACATCCAGGCACGCAGCGCGCGCACACCTAATTGGAATCGATATGAGCAATTACTCGAAGAAGAACATCGCTTGTCCAAAGTTACACAGTGAGTCAGTGGCTGAGTTGGGAAAAGAACCCAGGGACTAGATTTTCTCCATACCGGATATGGGTAACTCTTTGGGGGAAAACTGGGCCCCTGCAAGTACCTTTTTCAAGTCTCTGTAGATCATATTGCCTTTAGCTGGGGGTAGGGAAAAGACATGCACTTGCTAAGAAAAGCACAATGCCAAGGCTTCTTATGATAAAGGCTTTGAATATTGGGGAGCGAGAGGGCCAGTTGCTTCTAGGAATGTATTTTATTACCTGAAAATATGCCTCAGGTTCCTGGTATTTATCAAGCGTGGGAGCTGGATGATCCATGTTCTCATTGCTATTAGAGAGCTGGTAGCTGACTTTGAGAGTAATGCTAGAGAAACAGTCATAATCACACGGCTGTAATAAAACAAAAATAAGAAAAATGTGTAGGCATGACAGGTATATGGGGCTGTTAGAATGTAAAGCAGTGTTTGTACATCAGTGACTCTTTGTATAACTGGCCTATATCCTAACATGTAACTTTCCAAATGCCATTAGACAATAAAGCACAGAGGAGCGAAAAGCCAGAAATGTCTGTTTGCTTCAGTTCTTAAAATCCTTGTTTCTAACAGACATGACGTTTCACTTGAACAATATTCCAATATCCCAGAATTCCAGGCATAGCCTTGGAATTAAATTTTCCTGTTCAGTTACTCAGAGATTCCCTTATTCATCAAGTGCTGCATGCAAGCTGTAGCAGTCAGCTGAAACCTATGCAAAATTATGCTGGAGTCCTGCCTGCTTCCAGTTACTTAATGGAGGAAGAGGGTGGGGGGGAAATATAACACTGAGCACTTGTATAGCACTTTTCATACATAGATCTCCAAGTAATTTAGAAAGGTATGTAAGTGTCGTTAGTTCTCTTTTACAAACTGAGACATGAAATGTTGATCTGATTCAAACCAGATCACACTGGAGTCAGTGGCAGAGCTGGGAATAATCATATGTACCATCCTTTGTCTACACCACACGACCTCCTACATCTCTTAGAGTTACAAGTGCGACACACAGCTCCAAGAAGGAGCTGTTTCCCCTTGGCTGTTTTGTTTAGAACCTGAAAGCAAGTCTAGCTGAAAAAATTAACCTCCATCCCTTCACAATCCATCTGCTGCTTCAAGATAGGTTCATTCTGAGGCAGATTCCATACCTAGCCCTTTCTGTTCTGTTTTTTTTTTTTTTTTTCCTGGAGCATTATGTGGAGAGAGCTCCCAGGAGAGCTACCACAATTGTCTCCTCAAAAGAGATGTGCAATGCAGGGGTGGCATCATTCACTGTGGTAGAAGTGACTCCATCCCAGCTTTGGAGCTAAGCGCCTAAATCACCAACCAGTATGTTGAGCAGCAGCTCAGCACACACAGGTCCATTGGCCTGCTTTTCTTGGCTCAGTGTGGATTTCTGATCCTCAAAATGGGCTCTCTTCTTCTTCATCCTCACATCCAAGTCCACAGTGTAGCGAATGGATAAGTGCCAAATCTCTGGAAGCACAGATTGGGATTTTTGTGAATTCAGAGACACCCTTCATGGGATCAATGAAACTAAAGTCTGTGAACAAAGTGCGATCAGAGCTCTAAATTGTATGGGGAAAAAGTGATGCCCACAAACCATGGGAAATAGATGCACTATTAGGTTTAGGCACGTTGCTACAGGAATCTTAAAGGCTTAGACTCAAAGACACAAGTTGAAGTAGGAATTAAAGGATTAAAGATGCATGAAACAAATTACCAAACGTGCTAAATTGAGCAACGGGATGAAATGGTTACTCACCCCGTGCAGTAACTTCTAGATTTGTCCCCCTATGGGCGTTCCACTCTAGGTGCACTAGTGCCCCTGTGCCTAAGTGGCGCATCCATAGGGCACTACCCAAAGAACTTCTTGCTTTGTGTGTGGCATCAAGCTGCTGCCAAGTGCACCTATCACAGCTGCACCTCTGGGATGTGAGGGATAAGCAGTCACGAAGGATTGGTGGGATAACAAGCAGTACAGCAATTTAGCGCCACATTCTCTACTGGAATAACCAGGTGCAACTTCACCAGCCACAATAGAGCTGCATCTGCTTACGCCAGCAGCGAATTTGGCTCCTTGATTTTTAGCAAGAGAAATTACTTCTCTTCATTAATTGTATATTGGAATGTGGCCCTGAAACATTATACATCTACGGTACAGAACAGCCTCTAGAGTCAGAGTCCCAAATCCTCAAGACAGCCCCAGCCTGCAGCTTATGGTCTCATTATTATTCATATTTCATTACCTTGTGGGGATGCTTCTAAAGGTGAGCTCATATTAAAGCACAGTTCTGCAGTAATGATGCTATTGTTATGGAAAACGAATATTCCCTCCGGGGTGAATCTCATAGTGACATTAAATCTGACAATTGGTCTGGAGCTGGAGGGGAAGAACAGGAACTGATAAGCAAGTAGACAAGATGGACGTAAGTATAATTTCCAGACTGATGCTTTACAGGGGAAACATTCCAGGAGCACCTATCAACAAGGAGCAAGGGTTGTAAACTGGCTCTGTACTATTTCACTTGATATTCTCTGCCTTCTTGAAATCTCAACAGACAAACAGCGCTCGGCCAGACTGGTCTATTTCTAAAATTTCCAGCTTTGGCTGGGAATGTCAAGAATGCAGTGAAATCTCAAAATCCAAAGGAACAGACGATCTGAACCCACCAACACTGTGGGCTAAGAGTTTCAAAACTGGGTTTCCATTTTTGTACCTGTAATTGAATTATAGGTGTAAATCTGGGTACTTGTACCTCTTCCAGGTTTCTAGGGCAACTCACGTAGATATTAGTGCAAATTCTCTAATTTTCATGTGCAGTTCATTTTCCAGGAGCAAAAATGCAGGTGCAAATTAAACCTAATGCCTTGTGAAATGTACCCACCCCCCTTAAGATCATTTAGATGTCTAGGTACTGACTGAAGTTTGTAAGCTATTTACATGTCTAATGGACCTAAACTGCACATGCAGGATTGTGAGCACAAAGATAGGGGCCAATGAAGCCCTATATTACAATTGATTCAAGTTTAGTAACTTGTTTTTTCTGCATTGGAAGTTCAAAGGCAGAAGGTTTCTAACTTAACCTAAAGCCTTTACATAACAGAGAAAGATTTAGGAAACTTTTTTATCAACAGAATAACTAATATATGTCCCAGTGATACTTTAAACAATAATGGAACCACTAAACAACATCTAGGGTACAGGTGCAATCTCTACCTACCGGAGCACAGTTACATTTCCAAACGATCCCACTGATATATCTATGAGACCATCATCAGTGAAGTCAAAACCACCATCAATGGACTGTCCAAAATATTGGAGGCCTGGAGCAACTTCAGCTGCTCTTATCCTCTGTGGGAGGAAAAGATCAACACATTTAAGATGGGATATTTCTCCAGTTAACATGGGACTGCTCTGAGTGACACCCTGTGACATTTTTGACATATCCAGGATAGGGAACTAACCACGTAAGAATGGCCCTACTGGGTCTGACCATGGGTCCATCTAGCCCAGTATCCTGTCTTCCAACAGTGGCCAGTGCCAGGTGCCCCAGAGGGAATGAACAGAGCAGGTCATCATCAAGTGATCCAGCCCCTGTCGCTCAGTCCCACTTTCTGCAACAACAAGGAGTCCGGTGGCACCTTAAAAACTAACAGATTTATTTGGGCATAAGCTTTCGTGGGTAAAAAAAACACTTCTTCAGATGCACTTCCTGCAACGGACAGGCAGACTTGCTAATGGAGGGTGTTTAGTCGGTAGGTGTGGAAGCCACATCCTCAAGTGAGCACTTTAAAATCATACATCCATAGGGTTAGAAGGGACCGCAAAGGAAATCTAGTCTAACCCCCTGACAAGATGCAGGGTTTTGCCAGCCAGCTGAGCTTAAGAAGCAGCTCTGCTGAGTCAAGCCTGCAGAGTCTCCTTCACACAAGTCACCTGGCACACATCTTCACGTTTCTCACCCATGCCTCCAATCTGCACTCACCATCGGTGGAGTATCTTTTGATCCACATACAATGAGATTTTTGAGTACCAGTGATATACTCTGGTGTCTGCAGCATTTTTGGTAAGCAGGGAACTGCAAACCTGAGAATGAGTTGAGTCTGGTGGCTCATGACAATTAGCAAATTCAAGCTGGTTTCAGATTAAAAGAAAAAGCCCCAGTGCTTTATCAAGCAAGCCACTTCTTTTTTCAAGGCTGATTCACTGTTTAATTGGTAATAAGGTGATTTTCCAGAGTAAAAGGAACTGCTCGTGCAAGAAGTGGAAAACCAGGCTGGATAAAAGCATGGGTTAGATTGCCAAAACACCACTGTGATGCAGGAATTATTAACATGCCCATTTTAGAGATGGGTAAATCGAGGCACGGGGCGGCCAGGTGACTTGCTCATAGCTGCACAGAGTGTCAGAAATTAAAATAGAATGCAGGAGTCCTGACTCTGAACCCTCTACCACAAGAACATGCTCTTCCCCCTACCCCACATTTAACCCTCATTGCACATACGATTCACACAGGACTCCTCCCTACCTGAGAAAAGGTGCTCCTGATCCCACTCTTATCACCATTATAGATGTAAATGCTGCCAAAGGTAGAAGAATCCAAAAGTCGATCCTCAAGGGGGGCTCCAACTGCAATGTCCGCATATCCATCCCTACTGATGTCCCCAATGCTGGCCACAGTAAACCCAAACCTTGCAAAAGGAGATGGTGTCTGGACACTTAAGTGTCCCACCCAGGAGAAGTAACCATTCTGAAAAACAGCCAAGAGGTTATTCCTGCTGCTCCTGAAAGCAGGTTTTGTTTTTTGAATGGTAAGGATCGAAGGTGAACAACAAAGCTTTAAACAATAAACTAAAGAATTCCTCTGAAGGTCTGCTATTGGAGTCAATGAGAGCAGGAGCCGGGGTACATCTGCACTCTTACAAATAAAAATAACCAAAACATTGGAAATCAGCTGCTCCTACACTACTCACCAACATCCAAACACTACATATCCACCGTAGGATTTTATACTGCCTCCCATCTCCATAGTATCTGAGTGCCTTCCAAGTAAAAGCAATAGCCAATTCCCCAGGTCTGCAGTCTGCTCTACAGTAGCTGAGAACGTCACATTCCCCAGACTGCTTCATAGAATAAGCCTCAATGTGTGTGGGGGGGTGCATTACTTGGCTTTTGACAGATGTCTTGAACGTGCTGTGAGGCCACCAGCTGCTTTCAGCCACTCTAGAAGTGCCCTACGCAAGTTTCATTAGCTGCTTCTGACGCGGTGCTGAACACGGTTTGTCTGGGTCTACGTTTTCAGTTAAACTGTGTTCAGTTCTGGTTCAGCTAAAACTATCAGCAGCAACAGGTCACCTTCCTAGTGTAGACAAGGCTTAAGTGGTGTCAGCAACGTCATCAGCACTTGCAAGGTATACACAGAACACCAGGGCTCAGTGAGGAAACAAAGGAGGAAGTGATTGTCGAATATTTTGTTTTAAGAAGTAGATGTATTAGTCTAGGCTAATCAATCCCCTGTGTTCTATTACTGATTTGCCAGTTTCAACAATTTTTCTTTTTAAACAAAAGTTTTGCATTCACTCATAAAGTTTGGTTTCAGTTTAGTTTCTCTTTAATAGCTCAGTAGGTACAGCATGTTTTATAACACTGGATTTCAAAGCAGAGATGTAGCATGAACCATCTTCCTGAACTGTATGCTGTGCATCTTGTACACGAACTCAGCAGGTGGGCATGCCCACTGATCTACTTTTGGGGAACTCCCCTGGAAGCCGTTCCAACAGCAGTTGACATGTACATTAATTTAAAACAATCATCATAAGGAATGCTGTTTCACAGAGTGGTTATGGGGGATGGAAAAAAATGGCTACAAAATCATCAAAATAGAAAGATGCTTCATTCTATGGGACAGGGTCCGTAACAACAGGTGGGATGGGAGATGGAAACAATTTCACAAACTTCTATTTCTCATCATGCTGTGTAATAAATCTACACCAGGCCACAAAGATATCGCCATTTCTATTACAGAGTTTCTCTTTCACAGTCCAGTAAATGAGACAGGACTGATCATTCTGTGGTCTTCTGATACAACAAGACAGTCCACGAGTTATGCATGGGCACCAAATGGATATAATTGAGAGACTATACAGGGAAAGCACCAAGGATAAGGGTTTTATTTGTCATCACTAGCATGTGGTAACAGAAGTATTTCAAGGAACTGGTGGGAAAGCTCCCACCAAGTCAGAACTGCTGAAGCCAGTGTCTTTACCTGAAGCCGATACACATAAACTCTTCCTTCTTCCCCATAGATGTGATAAAGCGGGGCTCCCACAAGAAGGTAGTCTGTCTCCCCATCCTGGTTCACGTCCACAGAGCAGAGTTCAGAGCCAAAATAAGACCCAACCTGCGCCCCAGAAAGAGAGTCAGGTTTTACACTGGAATTCTCAACAAAAAATAACTTCATAATAATAGCCTTCTCTGGTGCCCTTTGCACCTGTTAGGGTGCTTTACAGAACTACAAATTTCTGCATAGTCATCTGTCCCTCTGTCTACATATGGATCATTTCATGACTCCTATTATCACAATGCAGCCATCTTTGAGGAGGGCCCCAGTAACCGGAGTAACAGCACCAGTATCACTATCCAACAATTTCACAACGGGCGGTGGAGGATACCTTTTCCAGTCGGAGTGACTGGATTTGTTTTTTTGAGGGGTCAGGTATCAGAATGCAATGATAGTCTAACCCCATTTATCTGAACCTCTTTCAAACCTCTCTCTTACCCAAACTGGGCTTACATCCTTTCCCCAGTCGTTTCCCTCAGCTATCTACAACACCAGTTGTCTGAATTTTTCTAACATCCCCAAAACTTGATGGATGATCTGCCTCTAGAAGAATGCAGGGGAAGTTCTGATTAGAGGAAGCACATGCTGAAAAATGGTCTGTAATGGCTGCATTGCAATAAAGACATGTGGAGTCCATCTATTTCCACCGTACTTAGTGCTTTGTCAACCCACTTGATTGGCAAAGACTGAGCAAAGCATGGGTACCTGATCTCCTTGTAGGATTTGCTTTGAGCCATCTTTCTTAAACACCAGCACTTTCCCTGTCATGCTGTGCTTTGGAGCTCCAGCAACATACCAGGCACCGTCTTGTGCATTCACCACAGCCACGCTGTACCCTGTGCATTTAGACAATGAGCAGAAATGACACATGATCGATACAATGCTTTATCACTGAGCCAAAAAGCCAATGACACAAACTTTGGATCTGGGGTTTTAGCTTGGCCCATCACAGGTAATGAAATTCAAATCTAGATCTGGAGCAGGAACCAAAAATCCACAAAGTTTGAGGCTGTGGTGGTCCATGGTTTTGGTCTGATACCATCTCACTTAAAAGACTGATTAGGAAATAACAGGAGATGGTAACTTGTCTGAGAGAAAAAGCCAACAAAGCTCATAAGTCATCCCTTTTAACAGCTTGTGATGCCTGGTCTCTTGATTGAATTTGAAGCCGCAGTGCCCCAACGGGCAACAACAACTGTAGCACCAGCGTGTAAATGGCTCTGCAGTAGCAACACTCAACAAAAGTTTGAACACATCCCTAGCATTTAATCACAGATCCTGAATGGTTATCTGAAATATACACGTTGGTCCTGGCTTTAATTGCCTTTGGAGGCTGACAGGTTAAAAAGCCATCGTGAAGGTGAAGGAAGCAATACTCCCTGTGGGATGCAGAAAAAGAAAGTTCATGGGGTTTATGTGACAGGGAGAAGATAGGACAAGCATTATTGTGCGGGTATATAAGACACACAGTCCAGGGCACCTAAAACTAAATGGAGAGATTTTTGAAGCTAAGTCAAATATCAGGAGGTACAGGACTCATGATGCTATAAAGAACTTGTGTTAATAAGCAAAAATTTTACACCATTCCAGGCCAAGATTTGTAATGATTCAGGAGCTGTTTGCTCTCCAGTATCTGCTGCACATGAAATATTTAACCATAGGCTCCAAAAAAATTCCAATCATTCTGAGAGTCGTTATACAGTAAACATATGCATACTAACAAGATGCAAACGATGCCATGGTGTATAATGATGTATGAGTGATAATGACCACTATGCTGCTGGGTAAGAGGGAAAGTGCTTCCCCCAGAGTCCCATTCCCAGCTGCAGGAAATAAAGACCCAGCCAGTTCTTGTGAGATTTGCTGTTCTTTGGGTTAATGCTTTCAACGCTGGCACATTGTCCACTAAACACCATCCACACATTGGTATATTTGGCCTGAACCTCCTCCCATTAACTATACTGGGAGCAGGATTGGAGCCACCACCTAATCAGATTGTCCCTGGGGTAGCAGGGGGTGCTATTTACCTAGGTAGCCGCATTTTGCTTCTTTTGCTTCTTTAGATTCGTTCAGGAAAGTGGCCGCCTTGGTTACCCAATCGTACAGCAGAACTCCACCGGACCAGTCATAGGCCCCCACAGTTCCAACCAGTATGTGCTGCTGCAGAGTTCACATAGGGAAAGATAGAAGAGAGGAATGAATGATACTCGTTTGCCTCTCTCTCGCACCTTGTGCCCAAGGATCTCAAAGCACTTTAGCAAATATCAGTGTTTTCAGCCCCACCGCTACCCCAGGAGCTAAACTGGCACTTCTATCCCCATTCCAGAGAGGGGAAATCTGAGGCACACAGAGGTGAGGCAATCTACCCTATGATCAGATAAAAACCAGCAGTGTGGGAAACAGAATCTAGATCCCTGCCCTGACTCCGAGGTGTCTGCATGAAATAGAGTTAATTTTGGTAACGATTCAGCAGTTACTATCAAGTAAGAGCTGATATGTGCATTAGACACTGAAATCAGATATACCAGCTAGCGAGCATATACAAGTGAAATCTTTATATAATCAAGGGGTACTAGTGAAACAGGCTCCTGTGCGCAACGTGGATTTGACTCTTTTGGTTCTCAAACTGTAGCGTGTGTCATTACGTAGGAAATACAGAGAATCAATTCTTTCAAGCCTCCCAAACACAAAATAAACAGCACCACGCGCTCATCTACCAGAGTGAGATTGCAGCAGGCACTTGCCTTGTCCACGATCTGTGCGCTGAAACCAGTTTGCGCCAGCTCATATTCTATAATATCGCCTGCCGTGCCTGAGAATCAGAAGAGGACCTAGTGAGTCATTTTCTCATTATTACTCAGACAGGATGACAAGGTACAGAGGTTTGCCCTCACCTTCTATCGCAATGATTTTCTGCTGCAGGGTTGAAAGGAGCCCATCTAAAGCTGAATAGTTGGTCACCCGGAATAAATGACTTTCATCTGGATCAGAGGCAATCAGCTTCAACTCATTTAGGGCCTTGGGCTTGTTAAATGCTTCTCCCACCTGTGACAGAGACCAAGATCAATGAAGAAGAGCAGCACTTTGATCGAAAAATGGTGACTTTACCTAACTGCATCTGTTTGGGAGTTATAAAACCCCGGCAATCTGCACTGGGGCTCAGTCCAGTGAGCGTCCTGAGGGATCACAGCAGCTGCAATTTCGACTGACATCAATAAGTTGGATGTTCTCAATGCCTCCTAGGATCAGGCCTTTAGGAAACAATTCCACATAACAGGCTAATGTCATATCTGCTGAAAAGTAGATTCTAGCTGCAGAGAAGGGGCAAATTTAAAAGCTAAAGCTTCTCCATACAACTCTCTGCTAAAGAATTACTAGTCTGAATTTGTTTAGAAACCAGACTGTCCATTAGTTTACTCTTGCTAACGGAATTAATGTGTCCTGATTTCTGGTGTCTCGGTCTTGTAAAAATTCCATAATAAACCTTCTATCTCCTCCCTATCACGCAAACTCCAAACTTTCTGCTCCTGAAACCCATGTACAGAATAAAACTTCCTTCACCTATATATAATGCCTTTTGAACCTGTCTTTCTCCAGAGGTAATTACCAGCTAGAACCAAGGTGCTTTTGTTTCAGATAACTGATGCCAGTGGCCCAGTTACCAGTCCCTGGGGAGCTGCTATGGATAATAAGAATATTGAACAAAGTTGAGCTCCAATTGCTACATTTTGTTCCTTTGAAGATGAAAATACAGTCAATTCAAAATTTAAAAAATAGTTCATTTCCATGAAAGCCTCTTTTTATTAAGCTTGGTACTGAAGGGGAAATATTCTGCCAAGTTTAAAGTCACTTTTTGCTTGAATAAGATATATTTTTGTAGACAGTGAAGATGCAAAATGCCTCAAAGCTGTCCCCACCTCTCTAAGGACCAAGCAGCAGCATTGACTGGTAAAGCTGATTGTGATGAACTAAGAAAGAATTAATATTTCCATTTGTTTCTTTCCATGAGAGTTGTGTGGCTAAATTCCCCCCACTCAGCTGTGAAAACCATAGATTTTCAGGCAAGATTTTAAAAACTTTTATCTATTCATTGTGATTTATGGCCTTCCAACATCCTGTGGAATCATGATGTACCATTCCCATCTTTCAATGCCATGACTGAAGACAGCGTCTGGACTTAGAATCATAGAATATCAGGGTTAGAAGGGACCTCAGGAGGTCATCTAGTCCAACCCCCTCCTCAAAGCAGGACCAATCTGCTGACAGATTTTTGCCCCAGATTCCTAAATGGCCTCCTCAAGGATTGAACTCACAACCCTGGGTTTAGCAGGCCAATGCTCAAACCACTGAGCTATCCCTCCCCCCCTTGTCTTACCTTAGTGTGTTTTTTAAAATATATACTGAATGGATCCCACTGGCTTTATAGTTTACATTAAACTTTGCAATATGAACACAGTGCAGTGGGCCCCTGGAGGAGAGATTTAAATGTTGAGATGGAAGATGCCTGACACAGGGCAAGCAAACCAAAATGGTCGCATGTGAGAGCAGGTGGGCAGGAAGCGGAAGCACCAAAGATGACTGGGCAGAGCAGACAGCAGAGCACAGCAGAGGTGTAGGAGTCAACGAGGGTGGGGTACAAGTGAGGATGGAAGTTGCGTAGGCCTTAATGGTGAGGTAGAGAAACTTAGCTGTGCCATGGAAAGAGAGCGGAACGAGTGAAGACATCTGAGAAAAGGGTGGTGTGAGTGCTGGGAGAGGAAGTCTACAAGAGACTTGAAACTGCAGTACTCCACGGAGTTGGGTTGGATTTTATTTACCTGTTGATCATATTATTAACTCAATGAGGTAGTTTTACTTTCCATTTATTCATTTTTATACATGCTCCTCATTTCCATCACTTACCAAGTTGCCATGCGGGTCAGTTTTTTTCTTTCTCTCCCCCTTGTTGTTCTCTAATGAGGGATATCAGCTACGTTCAGGGGGACAGATTAGAACAAGAGTCTTTGGATATTCCGAACTTACCCCAATGGCATAACGGTCAATTCTTGCCATTTTGGGTGAATTTATCACTGTTGTTAAATTCATTGGATCCTGGAATATTTCCCCATCTGTCAGCACAACCATGATTTTAGCAGCATTTTTCTGGGACCCCTGGCTCTCAATGAAGATAGAATCCCTGTTAAAATTGTCATACACAGGATGAGTTTCTGGGAGCAGAGGGATGAGCCAACAGATCTATTGAATTCCTATGAATTTATGGCTAATAATTGTATCAAGGCGCAGAGAAGGGACTTAATTCCTCAGGACTTTTCCTTTCACATTCACATAACTCAACAATGACCAGATTTCCCCCCCCCCACCCCCCATAGTGAATTTAGTGCTGAGGATAATTGCCAAGTCAACAGCTCTGGAGACAGAAAGTATCTCTGGTTAGTCCAGACTCTCAGATCCCTATTCCACCCATTCCAGTGAAGGTAGCGGTATTGGAAACTACATCGCCCCCTTTGCCCAGCCTCCTTCCCCCCCACACCATACATGCTAATATGATTGACAGAGGAGATGGCACTCCCCATGTTTACTCAGTTCTTGCCCTCTGTGTTGAAGCTGCGAGAAGGGAGTCAGTTTATTCCAGCTGGGTTGGTGGCTCTTGGGATGGGGACGTGTATCCCAGTAGGGACTGGACAGAGACCAATATCTCAGTTCACAAAAGCCTCTTAGCAGCCACCGCTGCTTTCACACATGGTAAAGGCTTTCACAGTCACCACCAACCTGGGCTGGATTTGGTCCTTCAGCCTAGAGGTTAAAAGCTCCATATACCATTCCCAGGGCTTTCCACTGAGAACATGTACCAGCTTGATTAACTGTACCCTGATTAGCTCAAATCCTGGTTCCATTCTTCAGGTTTGTATTGTGCATCTCCAGATGCTTTCCAGGTTTTCTTTTCATTGCCTTCCTGGTGCCCCAAGGCCAGGGATTAGGCTCTCACATTGTCTACTGGCCTTTAGCAGGCCAGATGACATCCTCTAAAATAGGAAGAGCAAGCCAGCAGCATAGGCCGAGGGAAGACAAATCTCCTAGTCTATTGGTCTGACTCCTCTGGCTTCCCAGTCCCCCAAGTATCTGCAGCCTTTGGATAACCAGAGTCACTGAGGCAGCCCCATCATCACTGGTAGAGTCAGAAAGTGCTATAAAATGTATCGTACGTTCAGTGTTCTGGCGAGGAAGGAGTGCCTCACGCTGCTCAATAGGGACCCTTCTGGCCAGTTAAGGAGATGTGACCAGATCTGGGCCCCAAATGTTCACGCATCTATTCAAAAAGTGCCCCAGCAATACAGTATCACCATTTCTTCTGTTGTTACTTACAGCACGTGTTGGATGGCAGATGCTGTTCTGGTCACCGAAGACAACTGGGTGATGTTCTGAACCTTCTGGAGGGTAGCGTTAGCGTTCCAACTGTCCCGCAGGTTAAACTCAGTTCTGATTTCAAATCCATACTGCACCAGGGCAAAATCACACTGGAAAGAAGCGTCAGATAAGAGTCCAATATTGATAGCTGATCCAGAGAACTGGGGCTCTCAGAAACAACCAGTAAAGAAATTCCCAATGAAGAGAACGGCATTAATGGGAAAAGACAAATTCATACTGGAGATAAGGCACAATTTTGACAGTGGAACAAATTACCAAGGGTTGTGGTAGATTCTCCATCACTGGCAATTTTTAAATCAGGATGGGATGTTTTTCTAAAAGCTCTGCTCTAGTTCAAACAGGAATTAATTCAGATATGTCCTATGCCCTATGTTCTACAGGAGATCAGAGCAGCTGGTCAAAATGGTTTATCTGGCCTTACAGTCTATTATGAATCTATAAAGGAGGGCCAGAAAGTAAAATCTTTTCCGGCAGAAATTGCACCTATATACTAAAGAGATGAACACAGAGAAGAAAAGAAAAGTTATGTTAGTTCAGAAAAATTAGAGCCACCATCAGATTCATATTTTGTTCTGTATTTAGTGATCAGAGAGAGGAGAGCTTTAGACAAGGACTGGAGGGTTTGGTTTTTTTTAGTTCTTTTGTTTTCATCTTGCTTTTTTGCCATACATTCCAGGCTGCAGAGGGAATTATCTGGGACCATCCTGAATCACCAGCACCACTCCTTGCTGCACTGTGGCTTTCCTTTGGAGCTCTCCCCTCAAAGGACTGACCTGGCCTGCCGCTGATGAGATCACTGCACAAGGTAAAGCTCTTCCAGGCTATGTTTGTACAGCACCGAGCACAAGGGGGCCTTTGCCTCCAGGAGCTACCACAACACAAATAATAAATGCAAAAGGTGTTATGCAGTAAGGGGCTAATGGCTGCCAGCAGGGGACTCTTGGATACAAAGACATTCACAGATTGGGTTAGAACCAAAGGCTGTGCCAAGCTCTCTTTCAGGCTCAACAGAAAGAGCAATTAAGTCCTTTTTGTACAATAAAACAGCTGGAGACAATGGGGGGTGGCTGCCCAAGGCAACAGGCTGCATGGCAAGCCAGAGCTAAACCAGATAGTTCAACAGGGGTTTCCCTGGGTACAAAGACAGGGGCTAGGATATCGGTTGCAGGACATGGGTATTGTAAGCAGGAAGCCAGGAGAAGCAGTTGTGAGCCTGATCCTGTGAGGAAGCAGAGGGACAGAGATTCTTGGGCACAAAGTTCGCTGAGGACTTGGGGACTTCTGAGCCAGGAAACGGCCTACTGCTGTTTGTTCCTACTGTGTTCAGGGAAGCAAGACTGTGTGTGCATTTTGTGTAAATAAGGTTGATCACACCAAGAACACACCTAAATTGTATCACTGATTTCATATCCTAACAGAAACAGAAACAACCCTGCAATGCCCCGAACTTTAGCTAGTCACTCGGCTAATAAAGTGCAGTGGCTGCCGTATTTGCAGACCAATACGTGAAGAAGAGAGTACCTCAAAGCACTTCTCATAGAACGCTTTCATCATGTTGTAGATGAAAGCCTTGGCTCTTTCAAAATCCTTAGGATCGATGCTCCCTGATCCATCCAGAACAATGGCGATCTCTGTCCCTGAGTCTGCTGGGACACGAAAAGCATGATTTAGAAGGAGGTGGTCAGGAGCTCAGAGGTCTTGACTAGGACCACCGTTATTCCAGCATTGCGAGAAATGCGTCTCAATCGCCAGCTAACGGGCGTGAAACTGCAAAGTTGCAATTGCAGTGTCAGCATCCAGAGTGCAGCTGTCCTCAGCAACACATTGATGCTAGTCAATGCTAGTCATTGATCTCCAACAGCACAATCCCTTGACAAGGTATTTCATCGCTTACATGAGTCATCGTCATCATCCTCCAGGATGTTGTTATTGTTGCAGTTATGGTTTTCATAGCCAGATCCTGCCTCTGGAAGATATGCCGCTAGAAACAAGAAATGAAGAGGGGGGGGGAGAAAAGAAATAAAAAGTGAAAATATGCTTTGCAGCAGTGCCCTGGGCCAGGACTCCATGATGAACCAGTCCCAGAGCTTCACACGTTCAGCATCCTTTCAGCCCATAACGGGTCAGACTAAAGCACGGGCTTAAGAGAAGGGTATAGTAGCTACACTGCAATTGGGAAGTGCGGCTGCAGCATGGATAGGCGTCCCCAAGACAGCTTTGTTTGAGCTAGCTCGCTAAATAGAGCGCTGAAGGCGCAGCAGCATGGGCGAGCTGCCAAAGGACATACCCAGGGACCTGGAAGGGATTGTACTTGGGCGGTCACCCTGTGCTGTCGCACCTCTACCGGTACTTTTACCGAGCTAGCTTGGATGCCCCTCCCAACTGCAGTGTAGAGATATCCTAGGTGTGAAACCCTGGCCTCGTTGAAATCAATGCGCGTTTTACCATTGACTTCAGTGGGAGGAGGATTTCACCATAGGACGGAAATGGAATTCTGAGCTGTTCAGCCGCTACATGGCGCCAGATGTAACTTACCTTACGCTCACAGCAAACGTTCTCGGCAGCACATTAAAGGATCTTATGGAAGACACGTCTCTGAGAAGGAGGGTCGGTAGTAACCCTGCAACCTACTGTGTACACCTTGTACATGACAAGAACTCAGAGCAGAACAGCATTCAATGGAAGCAATCTGCCCAGCCCGTGACTGAGAGCAGAGGCACCTCGTCACAGAGCACTGGATCTTGGGTGCACGTGTGCATCTCAGAGAACCTACTACATCCCTCGAGCCCCTTAAAACTGGGAGTTGTAATTGCAGGTCACTCGGGGCAAAGTATAAAAGCAAGGGGCGGCTGGATCAAATGGGGAAGGGTCTGTCTTCTCCCCTCCAGGCTGGCTCAAGCAAGGGAAGCCTCTGGGGAATTATTACCCAGGGAATTTCAGCTGATTTGATATTTGTTTTGTTTTTGTGATGCTTTGGCAGATAACGAACAAGGTCTTTAACGGTCTGAGGGTTGGAGCTTTATTTACATTTATTTACAAAACCACAGCACTCCTCATTGTGCAGGCTACAGAGAACGGGAGCGTTTGTTAGTGGCAGGACACTGCTGCCTTTTACCTGAGGTACCCAAAATATTTCTCTCCAGCACCGACAGGAAGCCATCCAAGGCTTCATAGTCAGGCAGCTTGAACAAGTAATCTTCATCGGGGTCCGAGGCGATAAGCTGCAGCTCTTTCAGGGCCCTTTGCTTGCTGAAGACATCGCCGATCTACGGAGAAGAAGCCAACCCCTAGGCTACTGCAGGGAAGTGGAGCAGTTTTCACAGAGAGACACAAAACAAACAAATGCCCAAGAGATCCAAAAACACTCAGGGCAACAACAGAGTGAGGTGTTTGCAGCCAGGAGCCTGGATTCCAGAGGGAATCCTCATTCTGAATGATTCATCTGCAAGGAAAGAGCTAATCCGAGCCATCCTTATACCAAGAGGCAAGGGAGTAATCCAGTTTCACAGACCACTTCCAACTTAGGCCCTAAACCAATGCAAACCCTTCTGCTCAAGAATTCACCTGAGCTCACTGGGTCAGCAGACTTTATTCTACACCACTGTGAAGTTCTGCTCAGAGTGTAACCAGACTGAACAGCAGATGGGACCATAACAATAAATTAGCTAATTCACTGATCATCATCACCACCTCCTTACATAAAAAAAGGTTTTTCTCCCAGAGGATCACAAGAATTTAGTCACACACCCCTGAAGTGTGAAGGTAGGGAAAGTTTTGCTCTTCCCTTGCTCTTGTGAGAAGTGCCATGTGGACTCCAGGAAATCTCACAGAGCAGACAGCACCTCAGGTTTTAGGATCTCATTCATACACAATAAACTCTATGGCACCAAGAAGAATGGAAGGCTGGCTGGGTATTTCAGACTGGATGCTTAGGCCACCCCAGATTTCTTCTCCACTCACCCTCTCCTTATTCCCCAGCTCACTACCAAAGTTTCTGAGTACACGCATCAGCGGAGGAATGTCACTCTAAACAGGTAGCCCTTACAGACATGGTTATCTGCGGAAGTTGCTGCTCCCAGGAGGCCTTTCCACTTCCCCATCTAATTGCTTTCCGCCTTTGAACTGAGCTATAGCAAAGGAGTTGGCCTCGCGCGTCACTTCACACCTACCCCCAGGGCGTAACGTTCGATCGTGGCCATTTTCAGGGAGCTCATCACATCCGTTAAGTTCAGTGGGTCCAAAAAGATCTCCCCATCGGTCATGACAAGGATCATCCTGTGAGCGTCCTTGACCGAACCGCAGCTTTCATTGAAGATCTCATCTCTGCAGAAACGCAAACCCAGATGTGTTTTATGGAACACGTAACATGTGCACAGCTGTATGTCTGTCAAGGTCATCAATGGGCTGATGGTGGCTCCCTGAAAATCCAGCATGTGAGAAAGTTCCCGCTGAACTAACACATGTGGAGGACATGAAGTCATTAGCAGATGGGTTTCTGCTGTTCTCCAGGGTAATAACGCTTAGCTCTTAAACAGCACTTCTCATCAAATGATCTTAGAGCGCATTACAAAGCAGGTCAGTATCATTATAACCGAGGGATGGAGAAGGGACATGCCTTGCCCGAGGTCACCCATCAGAACAGTGGCAGAGCCAGGAGCAGAACCCAAGTCTCCTGAGTCCTAGTCCTGTAGTCTATCCACTACGCCTCACTCTTCCCTACCCCCCCACTAGGCCAAGGGGAACTGGGAATCTGAAGGCAGGTTCTAATGTTCGTAAGGCAGCTGGGAGGGAACCCCAGCTCTGCCCTTTAACAACCCCCCTGATGGAGGATACCTGGAACAGACCTGATGGGACTCCAGGGGGAGCCACATCCAGACCCCCTCTGCCAGTGGGACCTTTGGGCCAGGGATGCATTCTGAATGGAGGAAAGGGAGAGGCTCCAGGCTGGGAGAAGAAGACACAAGGGGGGATCAGAGGGTGTTTGCGGGGAGCAATTTAAGGCGAGATGTGCCAAGAGTATGAGTTCTCGAGGGTGTGTAACTCACAGCACGTGCTGCAGGGCAGATGCAGTCTTGGTCACAGAGCCCAGCTGTGTTATGTTATGGACCTTGGAGAGAGCACTGGGCTTGTTGCTGCTTTCCTGCAGGTCAAATTCAGTTCGGATCTCTGCTCCATACTGTACCACAGCAAACGTAACCTGGAAAGGCAGAATTGGTTAGGTCAGGCAAGAGCCAAGGCAGCGATCCCCAGACCCCGTTCTCCAAGTGCCATGCTTAGCATTAAGTACAGTGGATGGGAAGTATCTCCTCAGCTATTCTTGACTCTACATGGAGCACACAGTAGCTAGCATATGGATCCATTTCCCTCCCAGTTTTATCCCTCTGCTTTCATCACACCCTGTATTCTGGCAGCCCCTGCTGGGACAGCTCTGCAGGTAGGAGAACAGGGGGCAGCTTCCTTTGACTCGAGAAAAGTGCTGCTGCCATTTTATCCATCTGAACTTCTAATCTGGCCCAATCTTTCGTGGCCCTGTAGGTCAGCCTCTCGACATTCCCAAGTACCAGGTTCACTGTAATTTAATTGAATGACTGAGAAGTCTTTCTTTCTCTTGTAGTTTATTTTCCTCAGTTGTGTTTCAAAGTACCGTGGGAGTTTTGCGTGATACGATGTCTAAAGTACCTAGACTAACCCACAAGCAAGAATGAAACCCCACCCCCATGCTGATCTAGTCGCTCCTCCAACCAGTCTCCACACTCCAATTCTCCTTGTCTCTGTGTGATTTCACTCTTGCACTAAACCCCTCAGGAGAGACAGATTGATACAGAACCTCTGGATATTTCAAAATCCATCGTGTTAAAATGTAGTTATAAACTTTTAGTTTGCCCTTTAATTAGCACCATGCATCTGAGGATCTGAGAGCACTTTAACAACGAGCAGTCAATCAGCACAACAACTCTGCAAGGTACAAAGCCAGAGCAAAATGCAAACTGCACTGCTTCAGCATAGTTGTTCCACAATCAAATCGAAACACGAGTAGGAGGGAGGGCAAGAAACACAGATTCCATTAGCATAATTTCTCATTGGACTTAAAGAGTGCTCAGACAGCATGGAGGTAAGCATAGTATAGAAGGAATCACCCCATTTTACAGAAGGGGACACTGAGGCACAGATGGTTAGTGAACTGCTCAAACACTAAGTCAGGGGAAGAGTTGAGGCTGGAATCCAGATCTCCTGACTCCCAGCCTTGTGCATAACCCAGAAGAATTTCCAGTATCACTGGGAAATCACAGCCTATTCTGTCTATTGAAACATGACAAGACTCTGAGACGCCTGCCCACGTCAGGAGGGGAGCAGAGCACACACCTCTGGGCATTTCCTCCAGAATGACGTCATCATGTTGAAGATGAAACCCTTGGCTCTTTCAAAATCCTCAGGCTCGATGCTTCCTGATCCATCCAGAACAATAGCGATCTCTGTCCCTGAGTCTGCTAGGAGAGTTAAAAGTAGACATTTGAAAGGACAACAAGACAGGGCAGCATTAGCAAGAGGTCAGGAACCCCGAGGACAAACCTTCCCCAGTTTCGCAAATTGGGAACCACATAATTAGCAGTAATGAAGAAGGGGAGAGGAACAGGAATTATTTCCCCAAAATCCTATGCAACACCAGGGGCTCTGGAACCTGTGTCCAAAATGGCTGCATTTTCGCTGAGCTTCTGTTGACGCGTCTCCCCGGTCTGCAGCTTCATCAGTACTAGAAATGATGGGAGCACCATTCTGGTGTAGCCGCCGATTTTACCAGCGTGTCATCCAGCCACACTCAGAGTAGATCTAGTTGATATCGTATTGTGGTTTACACTTGGGAACTCCACCAGTGCTACACCAATACTGAGAGACTTCCAGGAAAAGCTCGGTTACTAAATTACTACTATGAAACACACATCGCCACAAATCAGCCTTGATCTGCCACCTTTTGAGTATCATCCCTTTTCCTACCCAGCTCACTCTCAATAGTGGGTTGAAAGTTATTCAGCTCCCATCTAACACACCTCTCCACCCTGCTCCCCTGACTCATGAGACCACCTAGGCTAGGCTAGCACATACCTTTGCATGCATGGCTGTTTCTTGAATTGTTGGAGGTGCTATTGCCAGCTGCGCTGATGAAGTTGTCAGTGTCAGTAACGTTGATTTTGTTGTTGTTGTTGTTGTTGTTATTTTGGTCCCTGTTGTTAAATTTGGTCTCAACTACAGAACCAAAATAAAAAAGTTTTTAGAAACACCTATTTTTAACTAACACAGGTTTTGATGCAGATATGTTTCTCTATCACAACCCACCCCCAGAGAGGCTCCCAAACCAGCATTTTGGCCTGAGCGCTAGGGGATAGATTTTTAAAGGTATTTAGATCCCTAAAGATTTAAATCAGTGGGAATTAGGTGCCGAAGCACTTCTGAAAAGCCCACTAGATGCCTGCTGGAATCCTTAGTCACTTAAATGCTTTTAAAAATCTGTCCCTCGGTGCCTGATCATGCAGGATGCACGAGGCATGTAACAGAATATAAGGACACACATTTATTAAAAAATGCCTAGGGCCGAATTCTACCCTGACATTCCCCCCGTACAACCCCAGTGAAATCTGCAGAGCCACATTGGTATAACAGAGGGCAAAATTCAAACTCTGGCGTCAGTGGAGCGGAGCTGGAATGGAACTGATGTCGTGGACAGCACAGAGGCAGTTCCCATTGTCAAGGTCCCTCCCCACAGACAAGTCGCTCGCTTTGCTTCCGTACTGATTTTGCCAAAGTTAAGGAAAGCCTCCTCTTGGAAGTCTGCTGTGAGCAGGGTACAAATGCCATTCAACTCTTCTGTGATGCTAAGGGCTCGGCGCCGCTTTTTCTGCAGGCAAGCCTGTGGGGGAAGGGAGGGCAACGCTGATAAGTAATGAGCAAACTGACCAAGGACGTGCAAAGAAACCGACTGGCAACACTTCAGAATCAATCAGGCCAGGGGACCAATAATCATGCCGGGGTTGTGTTGGACTTCAGTGCTTAACCAAAGCGAAAGGTGAGGCTTCAATCAAGGACAGCCAGGAAGTGGTGTTAGATTTAAAACACACACAAGTCAACAGGGCTCCAGAGGTAACAGCAGCACATCAGCCAAGTCCAAGTCTCTGCCAAGTTCAAACTCCTTCTGCTTAGCCTCCTTTCCTCCTCCCTCTCGGGAGGGATGGCTTCTGCCAAGCACTGTTTCCCCTTGATGACTCAAAGGTACAGCCCTCCCCCTAACTGAAGAGAGGATTCTGTCCTCAAACCTCGCCACCTGCATGGCAATGCAATAATGCTCTAGCCTGCAGGCCCGCTGACCGCCAGGATGCCATCAGTACACAGCAGTATTCGTTCTGATCCTTTATATATCACAGCAAACGGATACTGTACATTACAAACAGATATTCCGAGCCCTGAGGATCTGCCAATCACTTACCAGGATCCATTCTGCGCTTCTGGCTATAGCTATGCCACCATCCTGGATATTTTTTGACTTTTGAATATTTCCTAAACAGTGTTAAAAAAATAAAATTAATCAAGCAGCAAAGGGGGGAATTTAATTACATGGAAATATGCCTAGGTAGGTTTTCTAGCGCTGGTCATCTCAGCATTTCTCATCCTTGGGCAGACACGATACACTCAGGCAAAGGCTGCTAATTCAGTATGAGGGATTTAGGAGTAGCCTATACAGTTAATCCATTTGTTAATATGCTAAGTTCAACTACTATAGTGATGGGCACCCTGGAAACACACCGAGTTTTTCCATTGGTTCCAATGGGCTTTGAAGCAGGATTCAAATTAGATGGTCTCCAAACACTCAGATCAGCTTCCCCCCAAACCGTGGCAGTGTGCGTTTGGATTTCTTTTCCCATCAGAGCTGATTGATGACCTAGAGATCCTTCATGCATAAGGAACTGCTCTCTGCCTCCTGCCCGAGTCTCTCTGTGATGGCACACGTTAGCGACTGCAACGTCCCCATCCCATTCAAAACCAATTCAGAGCAACTACTGGGAAGACTGAGCCAGACTGTACCTCTCAGGACAACTTCCTCGCAGTGGAGCTCATTCAAGGTCACACTACACTTATTCAGCCTGCCAAGCTGCCTGCTCGGATCGTCCTCTACCGAGGAAGTGGCCAAAACCCTAAAGAAAATGGAGAAATAAGAAGGAGGGAATGAGGAAGTGGGGTCTGTTCTCATGGCAAAGTACAAGGGAGAAGTCTATGTAACTCTGTCAGCTCAAGCCAACCATGATGGCTTCCCCTCTACGTTCCCATATGTCACTGTTGTGTCTGAACCTTTGGGTAGACTTAATTAATCACCATCACGGCCAGACAGATATTTTGCAGTTCAATAAAGGAAGTGGGAGGTCTTTCACTCTCACTTCCCCCCCTGCCTTAGCTTGGCGGCAGCTCTCTCAGCCTAGATTTTAGTGCCTGGCTTTACAGCTTTTCCAGTTACAATGCCATGGGGTATGTGGGCAGTGCCAGCCAGTGGCTGGTCATATAAACAACCATCACTGTTCTCGATAGCTATTCTGCAAGATGCAATATGGTGTAAGGCCTAACATTTCCCAGTTTAGGGAAGAGCCTGGGATTGAATTGCCTATGGTAACATCTGCCAGGTTTAGCCAATTTCTCTTGCAGACTCTTGGGGGGGGAGGGGCAGGGGGAGTCTTCCCACCATTCCCTCCCACCATCCCGTCATTGTTACCAGTGGGTCCCTTCCTGTGCTATTGACAAGAGATGGGCAGGGAAGGCTTCCACCTTAATATGCTCCACCTCACCCTAGCCACCTGCACCTCCAGTCCAACCATTACCTACAGCAATGCCAGTTGCCTTAGCTGGCGGTATGGGGAGAAACATCATTAATCTGATTCTCTACCCGTGCCATGCTGAAGCAAGCAGCACATTGTCTGAAAGACTAAGTCAGGTCAGGGGGGCCACGACCAAGCAATAGGTCCCAAGGTGACTTGCCCGATTCCTTGGCTGGAACTGAGGGGAGCCCAACTCATCTATGCAGTGGGCAGTAAGCAGGGCAGTCAGGCAGACCCTCCAGTCCTAAGAGATTCCCGCACTGCATTGGGAAATGACAAATGCTGGGAGTATTGTCTACTTCACTCTCTGCTGAAAGAAGCAGGGGAGTTGTTGGGTTTTTTTTTTGTTTTTTGTTGGTTTTTTTTACACTCCAAAGCTAAAACCAACCCTTCCTGCTCTATAGCTACACCGCTACTCTAGCTCTCTCCCCTACACTTTCTAGGTTGTCTCCATGACAACCCTTCTATCCACCTATCAGCACAGACACCTGCTGCTGTTCCCCCACAAACCCAAGAGAACAAACACGGCAATCGCTGGCTGGCTATGCCGTCACATCTCACGGCAGCTGCTGGGGCACAGCGACTGCTGCTGCTGCCTACAGATCACACACAGGGCCTGGAAATACACATTCTGGCAGGATGTGCAGCAGGAGACCAGCTGTCTGTGTCTGTAGCGGGGTGGTCTGGTGAAGGAAGTGGCTGTCTGTACACCACCAGGACTTAGCTGGGGCTGGGGAAAGGGCAGCATGGAATCCAGGGGCACTTTCATGAAGAAATTAACTGAAACGCTTTTAAAAAATACTCAGAAACCGTTGAGGTTCTAATCCATTGCCAGGCTTAAAGTGTACAAAGAATTACATCTCCACACAGGCAAGATGGTGCTTTGTAAATTGCTCACAGGAGCCCGAAAGAACCAGGGATGGGCACTGGGCCCCAGAATGGTGCATGGGAGTTCCAGAGGTGGCAGTGCCTTCCATACTAGAACAGCTAGTCCTACACGCCTGAGAGGAGCGTCGGGTCCTTACCAGGTCTTGCGCCCATCTGAATGCTGCAGAACTTTGGGCCAAGAGAGTGGGGCTGTGGGCGGCGTAATCCACTTCTTGCGGGTATCGATATTAAAGCTGCTCAGGGGCGTTACCGCTGCAAAAGCAACATCAGAAAGGTGACTGGCAGGGTTAGCATTCACAATACAGCTTCCCGAGCTAATGTTCTCCCCTTGGCCCCTCTCCCTGCTCACTCCCTGCCCCCACACCACGTGGCTGGTATAGAAACAATTAACAGAAGCAAGATTCTCCTTGTTGGTTTAAAGGGAACAAACAAGGCCTTTCTTGTCAGCTCATTAGAAAAAGGACACAGTAACTCAAGATTTGCTCCCCCACCACCAGCGTAGCTGCCTACAACCCAGAGCTGGCTAGACCAGCTCCAAGGAGGGGAGAGCCTGGATTTCAAGGGACATTCAGAGAGGCTGAGGGCAAGTTAGTGCCAGAAGTGGTGGTGCGGATGCACATCCAACCATCAGAGGGACTGAGACCCAACAGCTCGTCTCACATAAGGTCCTGAACAGCCAGCAAATGAGAATAACCTCCGGCCAGGATTGGTGCCCTCAAGGAGAAACCCCTTTTCGTGGGCACACCACATTCTCTTCCTCGTCTCTTAGGCCTGGTCTACACTAACCCCCCAATTCGAACTAAGGTACGCAACTTCAGCTACGTGAATAACGTAGCTGAAGTCGACATACCTTAGTTCGAACTTACCGCGGTTCAGACGCGGTCCACACGCGGCAGGCAGGCTCCCCCGTCGACTCCGCGGTACTCCTCTCGCCGAGCTGGAGTACCGCAGTTGACGGCGAGCACTGCCGGGATCGATTTATCACATCCAGACCAGACGCGATAAATCGAACCCGGAAGTTCAATAGCCAGCCGTCGAACTACCGCGTAAGTATAGACATACCCTTAGAGAGGTTCATGCCAGCCAGCAACGCAGCCCACAGCACAAAACACAGGGACATGCTGCTGTGGAATCTTCCCCATGAGTTGCTGTGACAATTCGAGCCTTAAAAATGACCCAGACCAGAAAACCCTGCATGGTCGCCATTGATTTGTTATATTTCACTGCCCATACAACCCACAAATGTCACATCTACTCGACGCTCTGTAACAAACTGGAAATGTTAGACAAATAGGCCAACCTGAAAGACACATAAAATGTAGCCCCGCAATGATACATATTGTGAATTACATTATTTGGGGTCTACTGACCCATCCTACATTTGACATGCTATGATAATTTGGAAAATTTGGCTGTATTCTGAGAGAAGAGCTCAAACCAACTCTGGATCCAAATGCAAGCGGTGTCTGAAATCCAAACCCAGGACAGTAGAATACCTAACTCTAACATAGCATTTTTCATCGCGAGATCTTGAAGCACTTTACAAAGCAGGTCAACATCTTCTGGCACAGAGAGGTGAAGTGACTTGCCCAAGCTCAGCCAGCAGGCTAATGGCAGAGATTGGGACAGAACCCAGGTCTCTTGAGTCCTAGTCCAGTGCGCTAGCCTTTAGGCCACACTGGTCTCAGAACTGGAGCTCAATTTTGCAAATGACTCCAAACCAAATCTCCCATGGCTTGGAACCACCAGACCTCCAAATCCAGACATTGCCGTTGGAGCCCACTTCCAAATATTCATCCTAGGATTTGGCCATCTTCCCTCATGCTTTTCAGAGTGCGGGAGAGCCAAGGTCTGTTCTCTTTTACACCCACCCTCCTCCCACTGCCCTCCGACTCCAGTATTAGTGAGAGTGGAATTTGATCCTGTAGCTGTGCAACAAGATGGTGTCATTTCATAAGCTGGCTGCTACAATGTAGCTGGAGGGAGAAGTGAAACATTGTGGCCAAAGCTGTTTCCCCGAATTCTGATTGCTGCTTCTTCATATATAGACCCAAAGCACCCCAGGTCTCAGTGTGGGGGCGTTTTAGGCCTTGCTTCAGCTTCCTCAGTCATGCTTTAGCGAATGGCATGCCATTTCTTTGGAACTTGGCGGCCGGACTCGCCGCCCTGCTTTGCATCCTGCAGTAGCATTAAAACACCTGACTCCTGCATTAATGCATCAAATTGCAGCTATTGTCACTCCAAGGCTTTTGCCCCTACTGCAGGCTGGCTTTATGCCCCTGCCTCTTGCACTGTGTACAATTTGTTCTGGGGGAAGGGGGAGGTCTTAAACCCTTAGCTGAAGCCAGCACAGAGCCCTACCTTGGTTGCTGATTTGCTGTTTGCACCAGAGTAAATGCTCTCCAGTTCTACATCTCAAACTGTCAGAAGACGGAAGCCACAAACCAAAATGTTAACTTGAAATGGCCCACATGCGCCTCCGTATTACAATATGCAAGCCTGCTGAAATCGATGGAGATGCATTGATACGACACAGGCAAATATGGCCCCTTGTCACTATTCTACAATAAATAAATACCTTAGGGCCTCATTCTGAACTCACTTATACTGGTGTTAATCTGGAGTAATTTCACTGATTTCAGGGGAGTTACTCAAGATTTATGCCAGTGTAATTTAGATCAGAATCTGGCCCTTTGGGAGTATGCACGTGCTACAGGTAATTAACAGGTACCTAATATGTAAACATATATTAAATCCATGAGGAATTACTAGTATAGAATATTACAAATTGCAAATACCAACTATAAAACTTCTAAACACACTAATTGTGCTGAGTATCAGCAATCCTCCTGGATTTCGTCTTGGATTTGCAGTTACACATTACAGACCTTAGCATCTTGGAATCACAAATAGTTCCTGGAGAGAGATTTTGCAAAAAGAAAAATGTGCTGCGTGATGTTGGTATGTGCTCTTTGCACTCACTGCTTTGTTGCAGCCATTTACTGCCGTTCAGATTATTTTGTGAATGGCCAGAATTTGTCCCCATTGGCAGGACGCATCACTCCAAAAAGAATTTACCTCCTTCACACACCTGGGGTTGTGTATTGGTTGGAAACAAAAAAAATCATGCAGAAATTTATACACAACAACCTGTATGTGTACAGTTCCTTTACTATTATTATTATTACTATTCAGATTTAGCCTGTATTTATGCTTGGCTGCACTGAGTGGCCAAGGTCCTAAGTATTCTTATTAGCAAATGACACATAGTCAAAATGCAACACAATATGTTCTACAATGATGCCTACAAGCCTCTTAATTTGATAGTAGAGGTGCTGCCTGCAAGTCCCAACACACAATGGACTGACTGTCTTTATCTGAGTGGCCAGGCTGGAGCAGTGAAAGCTGAACTTGTGTGGCTGGTAGAGACGACATCAGTA